GCCCGGCCGGCAGCACCCCGCGCCCGGGCAGGCTGCTACCTGAGCCCAGACGATCTCCGCCAGCTCCCGGCGGCCCTGGACCACGGCCCAGATGAGAAGGTCCCGCACCGGGTCGGCGGCGGCGGCCTGGCGGCAGGGGTGCTTCTGGGGGAACACCAGCACCCAAGCTGCATTGGGGCCCCGCGGCCAGGCCTCATCCGGGAGCCGCGCACGCGCCCTGGCCCCCAGCACCCCCGGAACCCGCTTCCTCTAACGAGGTGACGGTGGAAGCTCCCGAAGGGTCGCTGCAAGGAAACCTGCTTATCCGCTTATCGCTGGGCCTTTTGCGGGCCCCTAAATGCAGGAAGTCGGGGAGACAAGGACAGGATGGGCACCCTGGCCCCGACCCCGTCCTCTTGGAGGTCAGGCCCCAGCGTCCAGCATGCGGAGGGCAGGCAGGGTCGGCCCGCGGGAGACGGCCAGGCCCCCTCTCGGGGCGGCTAAGAAAGGCCAGCGGACCCAAAGGTGGGGGGCTCCCTGCCCCTGCTTCCACGGCGGGGGTGTGGCCCGCAGTCCGGCTGTGGCTGCCCGTGACGGGGCCCTGGGCCTGGGCAGCGCGAGCGCGAGCCCACCGTCCACCAGCAGGGCCCACCCGCCGCCCCTCACGCGGAGGCGGGCCACTTCCCGCCAGTCAGCGGGAATCGGGGCTCACCTGCCGGCCGAGGCCAGGGTACAGAGGCTGCGTGGAGCCCCCCAGCAGGTGCGACAGCACGTCGGACACGTGGCACAGCTGCAGGGCGGCCCAGGCTTTGTGATCGCCCAGCGCCCTCTGCAGCTTGCGGTGGAAGAGGCAGGCGGGGTCCAGGTCCCGGTACAGGGCGAGCAGCGCGTCCGGCGACACCAGCTCGGCCAGCTGCACCCCGCGCTCCAGGAAGAGCCGCAGGAACTCGGGCTTGTCGGAGACGAGCGCGATCCTCGCGGCGGGGTGCAGCTCCGAGGGCTGTGGGCGGCGGCCAGTGAGGCGCTGCCCCGCAGGGTGGGCCTGCC